TTTTCTCCTTGAACATTTCAGTTTCACAATAGACGTTTATACACCATTCGATAGAGAATTTCAAGAGCTACATTTTGCACTATTTGTATTTCAAGATAGATAAAATCGACTTTTTGGCCCAATGTTCGCTTAGTTGCCCACTGTGCTCCGTAACATTCGACCGCCTAATATAGATAATAGTAGCAATGGCAATAAAACCCAAGCGTTTAGTATCTAACTACCGCCCAGTGAAGATTTTAAATTTGGCCTAGTGAATAAATACGTTGTTTGTTTGGAGGATGTTTGAGGCTTCTGTACAATCAGATCAGATGAAATGTAGTTTGTAGTATCTAAAACTGAAGATTGTTTTGTTGACTGTTGTTCAACAGCTGTTTGTGTTGGTTTTTGGAGGCATGAATGTCGTTGTTGTTGTTTGCGATTTTGTACTTGTAATTCAATAATTTATGTTCCAATTCGCGTTGATTTTCCTCATGGTTATGATTAGTTATTGTTAATTGTGTTATTTCGTGTTGTTCGCTACCAGCTGTCATCATTCGCTTATGCCTTGCGGAATCATGTGAATGAGACGGTTTTGATCGAATAAATTGTTGACGTTGTTGTTTTATTTCAAGGTAAAACCATACCTCACCATCTTCAAGCCACATAATTTCTTCGCCGTCAAAAACTGGGAGTTGTTCTTCAAACGATGAATCTTTTTTCTTTTTCAATATTTTTTCCGTGTTAGATTGTATTTGTTTCGTGTAATTTTCTATAAATCGCTGTGATTTATTTTGAAGATGACAACCAAAATCACGCATGTGTTGACCATGGAAATAATGTTTTCTCACTGTTGTTGGCGTTATCACTGATGTTATGGATTAGGAATTTGTTTTTGAGGATCCTTCTTCTTCACCTGCTCCAGTACAAGTATATCGACTATCAAACGGATCAACATATAATTCATCCGAATCGGTATCACGCGTAGAATTAGCGTAAAACAGATCAAAGAAGCCGCTTTCTGCACTAATTAAAATTAAGTGCGCATAAATCGTAGAAACAGCGCCTAGCATAAAAGATAATCATACTAATTAGCTGATTTTCTTTATGGCACGACTAATTCAAGATACACTCGTATCTCAGAGAATCCGAGCCCGTGTTTCGACAAAGTTACGCATCGTATCTCCCGCGTTTTCCAATGAAGGTTTAGAATTCGTTTTTTAATGCCTGGTTGCATTATGTTTTACTCGGATTTTTCTTCAAAAACATGATAAAATCAGGCTTCACCATATAAAAATCTGTATGTGCAAACAAAAAATTATTTTAGTGGAAAGCATGACCGAAAAATGAAACGTTTTGTTCTGCTACCAGCGCGCCAGATAATAAATAAGCCTCAAACTTAGTGTGAACATACACTAATTTGTATCGGTGATGTTCGTTTTGATATTACCGACAACTTTTAATTTATTTATTAGAATTAAATGGTATGAATCATTTACTGTTGTTTTGTGGGTGGTAATTATCGCAGCCACAAAACCTGTATGTAACTCATGCGAAGGTGGTTGTCCGAACAGTATACATGAATCGTCTGTGTTCAGGTGTGCACGTTCGATGTTTGTTCTTATGGTGGTATTGTTGCATACCATTGTAGAATTAAATGTAATTTCGTTAACCTTTAGACTAGGAATTCCAGATAAATAATTCATGTAGCGATTATAAGAAATATTCGATTTTTTGAAATAATACAGTATGGAAGTGGACTGTTGCCGTTCGTCGATTAGTTTTTCGGCAAAAGATAATAATAGTCGGGGATAAGATGATGAGTGAATACGTTAATATACTCCCTAAGCGTTGTGTTGCGACTAACGTGTGCACTGGCAAAAGCAGGCAGCTGGGTTATTCTTGTCAAAAGTTCGTCCCTCGGTTGGAATAGGAAAGCTACACCCCTCTCACGTTCTTCGACAAATCCTTCGTGAAGACCGAAAGAGATTTAGCAAAACCAACTCCCTAGATCAATAGAGTATATAAAATTCTATATAGAACATTGTAAAATGTGTAATTTTGTCTTTCGATGAACTGAAGAATTCAGTCTTAATGAGAAGAACGTGCGAGAACCACTGTAAAAAGGAGCAAAAATGAATGAAAAAACAGAGTATTTTGCTCACTGCATCTAGATGATGCAAGATAAAACCGTTATCATCGCATCTCATCTGTATCACCTCACACTTACTCTCATCACGTCTTCGTACACGGCATGTAGATCGTCGATTAAAAATGACTGTGCAATATCAAATTCTTTTAAATTTCTAAATTCAGAAAATCCTAAAAGTATCGTTGCAAGAATAAGTATACTAACGTTATAGTAATTAGTCATACCAACGTACCTAAATGACCATGAGAATCGGAAAGAGTTTCATCTGACATTTTTTTAATGTGATAATCGTGTGATACATTTGAACGTAAATCTGCAGCACTATCGAATGGATAAACGCGCAATGCAACAGTTTTTTTCTTTGTCTTCTCGGACTCCTTCTTCTTTTGTGCTGCAGTTAGCTTCCGTCACCGCATACCGATAGACATATAATCAAAGTAAAGAAAAACGTCTGAAAAGTACTCAGAGCGACATGAATACCTGTAACAACTCTGTTTTTCGGCGCTTGGTTACACTTGAATAGAAGTCCCGGAGTGTAACATAAGCCACATCCATAAGCAGCCATAAATGGTTTTAAGTTCTCCATTTTATATTGAGCTGATTTATCGTTCGTTGATATATATGTAAAAAAATGTAATAATTTTGTCGAATCTAATTCTGGGATATAGAACCCATAACCGTCTTCTGGACATTTGAGCTTGTTCACAGTGAGTTGTATCGCCAATTGCATCTGATTCATATCCGGCAACGCATCAGTTGGCCATATAGCTGATATAAGAATATTTCTCAAACAAAAAAGTTCTTCTTTTTAGAGGCATTTCATTTATGGCGAACATGTTGTTTCTTTTGTCAATTCGAACACAACTCTTTGCAGTTTTAAATTCTGATTTCGAGCGTTGAATATTTCCGTTGGAAAGTGAGAACTAGGAATAACAGACGCTTATGCGACTGAGCGTTTGCACAGCTTCTGCTAGCCATCAAACAGGCTTCCTTCTTCCAGTAGTTGAAATTTAGACTAATCAAACTGGTGTCGGTTACTTATCCGGCTGAAAAATGTTACCCGAATGGCTTCCAAATCATCGATTGGAGAACAGATGTCAGCCACTTTACTGACGAAAAAGTCTACCGGTAAAATGGTTGACTTTCAGCTATTTAAGCGTCTGATTGAATTTGCAGTGCGTAGCAGTTGGAAAAGTAGATGATTTTCCTTTGTTTAGATATAGTCATCCACTCTGGTAGATGAAAAGTGTTACCCGATCGGATGACAGGTCATCCACTTTGTTAGCTGCTAAGTCATTCGGTCGGGTAACACTATTCATCCACCAGAGTGGATGACTATATCTAAACAAAGGAAAATCATCCACTTTTCCAACTGCTACGCCAGTCACTTTAGTGAAGTCAAAATTTACAGTGTCGACATGACTTAAGTTAATATTAACTAAAAGCACCAGTCAGAGTTAAAATTAGACTACCATTCATAAATTAGCTATAAACCTTCACAGGAACGCGTTACAACATATCTGAAAGCCGTCACTAAGAAATGTGCACCGTTTTCTTTTCTAAACATAAACTATGTGCTAGACCTTATTAGCGATTTATTCGTTTTAATGCAAAATCCTCAATGGTTACCATATTAACAAGCAATTTACAATCAGAACAAGGTGCGATTCCGTTGTTCTGTTGTGTTCTATTGTCTTTTGCGTCTTTGTTTCACGCAACAATCAGCGAACTTCAATTAAGAATCGTTCTGAAAGCCTGATCTGACTTTTGAATTCTTTTCAGAAACATCAAAAACCAGCCCGACGCTCTGAAAGTTCAGCAGATATGTATCCAGCAAAAGGTTATTGCTGATTTTTAACTCTTCGATCTTATACTGTGTCTATTTACGTTTTGCAGGTGGAGAGAAGAACTATAATGAATCTGGTGACAAAATAATATCCTATAATACTAGCAGTGCTCTTACACCGATACAACAAGCAAAAAGTGGCAATTTGTAATTTCAGTCGGTCTGCATGAAAACGCATATTAGCTTTATTATTTAATATTATTTTTTGATTAGATAAGTGGTGCTACCTCGCTCGTATTTTCAAGACTCGACGCTTTGTTATTCCTTCTATCTTTGTTTAGAGCCGTTGAAAGTCATACGTACCATTCAATCGGCGAACATCTTGGCTCCATCGACACTTTCGCTCAATCGAAACATGTCATCATCATAACCAATTTTTGCATTTCCACAACAATCCACGGCTTTGAGTGTCCCAGCGTGTTGCTACAACAAAACTATCAGTTACGTCGTCTTCTTCTTCGTCGTCGTCATCATTGTCAAATACGGACGAGAATTCATAAACAATGGGAATTTAAAATGGTGATCATAGTAACAACTTTCTTCTGCTCCGTTATTTGTGTCTATATAGAGTGGAATTATTTAGAAGAGGATGCTAGTGTATATTGGTCGCTTAGATTGATAGAGATAGTTTTAGTCAGCTCATCTTGGTCGGGGTACGCACCAGACTTTTATTGGTGGACATGGCCATTAATTTATTTTGAACTGCAAGAACGCAATAGAACTATGTTTTTGTTATTTCAACAACATGAGAATTTTTGTTTTGTACATACAAACAGTATCCACGTTCTGTGTTTAATGTATGTGAAAGACACGTGTCTGGTCGAAGATATATATGCTCTTATGTTAAATAAGACATACAAAAATAACAGTGTCCGTTACGTAAGAGACATTGCTTATTTTCTTATTATACTCTGATTTTATACTTTGTGCGAGAGTGGGAAATATAAACCGGTTTCTCACAAAGTTGAAATCTTTTCCTTTAGCTACTCCGGCTATCTAAAGACTTCTACTGCGTATAGCCGTGCTAAACATGTTGACTGTGCAAGGTCTCAAAATAAAAATGCACTAAAGTGAGAAAGGCATCTAATGGTTGAAGTCACAACTGTCAGTATCCTCGGTGTAAGATCGCTTTGCCGTTAGCGACTTTCAGGATGTAGCGACGATCAGTTCGGTCCTGTTTGATGCATAGAGGATTGGGGCTCAGCCATTCCGCCTCGTTCACAGGATGCTAGATTGGCTCTAGCAACAAACTGATATTACCGTCTAGTATTTACGGATACGCATTCTCTGAAGGTCCAAGCGTGAATGTTTCCTTCAGATACGGTAAGCGTTACCTTATTGATAATAGTCACACATGAATCATAAACTTCGATCGCTCTCACTTTTATTTTGAGATCAAATATCCCTCACATGTCCGACAAAAACTGCGAAATACACGCGGATGCCGGGAGGGAAAGCAAATCTGAGGCTAAAATTTTCTCAGAAATAATCATGAAAAAAATCAGTAAAACTAATTCATGTAACAAACAAAAGTTGGAAGAACTTAATTGATGAATGAGAATAAAATTCCTGTATACTTATTTTGGCCTAAACATCTAAGTGAGCTTGAGGAGACTAATTTTATAGGGATTGTATCATGTTCTTGAAGAAAAAGCCGAGTAAAACATAATGAAATCAGCGTCCCAGGTGTCTGGAGAAAAAATCTTCAGAGGAGCATTTTTTGATCTTGAAACTTTCACCGATACTCTCTTGTCATTTTCGAGCCATGACGGGCGCTACTATAACCAGGTTTTCCTAGATAGATTTTTTTCTGGCGAACTTAATTACGGAATTGCGACTTTTTTCTTCTCCTTTCTAAGTGATTGCAAATAAAAAAAGTATCATTTTTTATGTTGATATCTGTGGAATTAACTATGTGAAATAAAAAGGCTTAAAATAAGTAGAGACTGCAAAAACTTTGTCCAGAGGAATTTTTGTCTAGTTCTATCCAATTCGCAGCTCTGCTATAGATCTAATTCTTTCGCCATTTGAACACGCATTCTTTCAGCTTTACATTAATATAATGTAGGCTGAGGTTTCTATACGTTTTGTCTCCAGGAGAGCGAAACGAAAAACTCATTCTTTTCTTCTGAGGCCATTTTGCAACCGTTGCTCTGAATCCCTATGAGTATTACAAGAACGCGTTCATACCAATATTTGTAGCACTGGAGTTACTCTTTCATCTGATATATAAAACATCCACACGCA